TGAAACGACATCTGAAGGAATAGAAACGTCATATTCCATATATGATGTTATGTTTAGTGATGGAACAACAGTGGAGGAAACACCGTTCACTGGTTCCGGGGATGGTTCCAGTCCTGTAACGGACAAAACAGAAGTTACGTCTCCTGGTAGTTCTGTCATAACTGAAGAAGAGGGTTCTGGAAGTGGATCTTCTATTGTCACTGATGAGGAAAGCTCAACGGTTATCTTCACTGGGTAAGGACAAATGATACTTCTTGTTTGTTGTTCTGTGTTTGTATGTTTTAAGTAAATCAGTATGGATTTACGTATATTTTTTTTAATATTTAAGTGTTTTTCTATTTTTTTTATCTTGACTAATTTTTTTATACTGGCCTTTAGAATTTTTTTTAAGTTTTTTGTTTTTGAGGAAAAAAAACGTGGATTGGTATGTTTGTATATGATATTAGAAATAATTATTGGCGTATTCAATTGTGTTTGGTCACTTCCTCTTTCACCGGAAATGCCTACAACTTTTTACGATTTTTAAACGGCACCCTCGGTATATTTCTACTTTATTCGATAGAAAATGACACACTGAATAGAATGACATATCATATGACAACTTTTGATATTTTCACATATGGTTTATTTGAAATTGTAACATGAGGTTCATAATGACAATTTGACTCGAAATACCAAGTGTGTGGTACCAAATTATCCGTAAGAAAATGCCTTTTCCAAATATGCTAATGAGCTTTCCTTGTTCCATTTCAAAAAATTGAGATATTATTAAAAATACGATTTGGGTATCTTTTAACCAGCCAGGACAAGACATTAAAGACATTAGACGATCAAATCTATTTTTCCAAGGCTCCTTGATTAAAAATTAGTGTTTTTAACACAGCCATGGCAGCCTAGATTGAAATTTAAAATACGATTTTTTAAGCGGAAATGTCAAAAGTTGAGATATGTTATTCTACTCAGGGCTGTCATTTTCTATCGAATAAAGTAGAAATATACCTAGAGTGCCATTTAAAAATCAAAAGTTGTTCAATCAAAACAATTGAATACGTCAATCAAACCTAATATACCAAATCTCGTTTTTTTATATGAAAAAATAAAAAAGTTATAGGGGGTGAGCCACTTTTGACACGCACCCGGTATATTATTTGTATTTACCCTTTTGAAAGCTAGTAACTTCCTGGGGAAGCATCTTAGGGCATTTGCTCATAGGAAATTTTTGTTTTATTTTTATCTTTAGAATCACTTCCTAAAGTTCTACGCTATTTTTTCACACTCTGTATATTTTTAGTTCCGCACAAGAAATATCTGAAACAACAGGAAGATCATCATTATCATCAGAACTTGCTACTGGTTCATCAGACCTATCATCAAGCTCAACTGAACTCTCATCTAGTTCAACTGGTTTAACTGGTTCAACTGAATCTGTTAGTTCTTCGTCAGAATCTAGTACAGTTAGCAGTTCAGAGTATACAACTACTTCTGATTTAAGTTCCTCAGAACATACTACTATATCTACTGATGGTAAGTAATTCTAACTGTTTGTTTCCATAAACGTAGTGTTTATATATTCTTCAACATCAGAAGAAGAAATTCCGACACACAAATGTCAACCGATATTTGACAGATGTTCGACGATTAAATGCGCGTATGGCCTGGAGCCATATGTAGACGAAAACGACTGTGATACCTGTAGGTGTATTGAGCCATGTAAAGGTTTCAAATGTTCTGGAGATATGGTGTGTTTTGTGGAAAAAAATAAAAACAAGAAACTAATAAGAGATCCAAGATATGTGGCTGTGTGCAGAGAAAGTAAATTAATACCTTACAGTCTGTAGAACCCGAAATATAACATAAAAGCTTCATAATTTTTAGCTTGTTAAGATATATTAGTATGCAAGGTTTTTAATACAGCCCATTCATAACTCCTTATAGGACACAATAATTGTATTACTGTAATTTTTTGGATGTGATCTTTTGTAATCTTCACTGACTTGTTAGACAGACTTTATACTTTCTTTAGAAAATATTTCCCAATAATAATTGGACAGGCTGTATGAAAAACCTTGCAACCCTGTAGATGGAATTATGTTTCTTATGTATTTTTTCCAGGATCATCTACTAGTGAAAGTACATCAGAACAATCTACTGAAACAGTCACTACAGAAAGTACACAGTTCACTGACACAACCGGTACAAGTGAGAGTACTTCTGAAGATACAACTGGAACTACTGAAAGTACCGCATTCTCTACGGAAAGTAGTACTGAATTCTCAACAACCACTGAACTATCTTCAAGTACTGCAGGATCGACTGGAGCAAGTGGATCAACAACAGATGACGTTCGCGATGAACCTGAAGATAAAGATCTACCAGAACCACCACGTAGGGTTGAATCGCCAACTGAAACAACTGTTAGCTCAGGAACGGGTATGTATGATATTCCTGGTCCTATTTTTTTTCATACTTATTCATTTATTATACATTTTTTATATATTTTAATTTTCTATTTGTATTTGTAGAAACAACTGTTACAGATGTCAGTACATCAACAGAAACTACCACTGAATTTACTGGTTCTACCAGTGAATCAGGCTCTACAGAATCATCCACAGAAGGTACCAGTGTTTCTACTGAGTTCTCAACAACTGAAGTTAGTGGCACTACCGAAGTTAGTGGCACTACTGAAGTCAGTGGAAGCACAGAGGTTAGTGGTAGTACAGAAACTAGTACTTCAAGTGAAACTACTGAAACTGCTACCACCGAATCAACTACTGAGTACACCGGTAGTACTGAAACTGACATATTCTCATCAACTACCGAAACAACAGAGGAAACTCGTAAGTGTATGAAGAACATAAGTTTTTGATAATATAATGTCTACTTTCTAGCATGGCCTACAACTCCTGCCAGGGACATATTTAAGAAGAAGATGAGGATGTGTAAACGTAAGAAGATCATGCTCTGTCAGAAATCGGAATACGGTTGTTGCTGGGACAATATTCACGAAGCAAAGGGTCCATTTGATGAGGGTTGTCCAGCACCAAAGACTTGTAAGGAATCGACGTTTGGTTGTTGTCCAGATGGATTATCAGCTGCTCTTGGTAATATTATAATATAAAATCGTATTTTTATATTTCACATTTCGCTTATCATATTTTCACATTTTTCATTTTCACATTTTTTACATTTTCACATTTTTACATTTCACATTTTCACATTTTATATTTCACATTTCACTTTTGAATTTCATATTTCAATTTCAATTTCACATTTCAATTTCATATTTCAATTTCACATTTCAATTTCACATTTCAATTTCACATTTCAATTTCACATTTCAATTTCACATTTCAATTTCACATTTCAATTTCACATTTCAATTTCACATTTTAATTTCTTATTTCAATTTCACATTTCAATTTCACATTTCAATTTCACATTTCAATTTCACATTTTAATTTCGCATTTCAATTTCACATTTCAATTTTACATTTTAATTTCACTTTGCAATTTCACATTTCAATTTTACATTTCAATTTGACACTTTAATTTTATATTTCAATTTCAATTTTCCATTTCAATTCACATTTCAATTTCACATTTCAATTTCACATTTCAATTTCACATTTCAATTTCACATTTCAATTTCACATTTCAATTTCACATTTCAATTTCACATTTCAATTTCACATTTCAATTTCACATTTCAATTTCACATTTCAATTTCACATTTCAATTTCACATTTCAATTTCACATTTCAATTTCACATTTCAATTTTACATTACAATTTCACATTTCAAATTCACTTTTTAATTTCACTTTTCAATTTCACATTACAATTTTACATTTCAATTTTACACTTTAATTTTAAAATTTCAATTTTATATTTCAATTTCACATTTCAATTTCACACTTTAATTTCACATTTCAATTTCACACTTCAATTTCAGATTTCAATTTCACATTTAAATTTAAATCTGTCATTTCAATTTCACATTTTAATTTTACATTTTCTTTTCATTATTGCCGTTTGAAACAATTATAGGACCTAAAAATCGTGGATGTCCTTCCAGTCATTGCAACGAGACACTGTTCGGGTGTTGCTGGGACAAAAAGACACCTTCCGAAGGCAACAACGAAGAAGGATGTCCTCCCCGACCTCCGGCGTGCCTGGAATCGAAATGGGGCTGTTGTAAAGATAACGTCACAGAGGCTAAAGGGCCCAAAGGTAAGGGATGCGAACCAGAGAAGGAAAAAGAGAAAGGAAAAGCTGCCCCTGTCACGAAAGAATGTTCGAAAACTGAGCACGGGTGTTGTCCTGATGGATCAACCGCTACAGGTATGAGATATAGTTTATTTAGGAGACTTTGCAAATTATTATTATAATCTAGGTCCGCAGTATCAAGGATGTAAAATGCCATGCTCTAATACAACTTATGGATGTTGTCCAGATAAAGAATATCCAGCTCACGGTCCTAATGGAGAAGGATGTTGCCTTGGTGGACCGTTCGGTTGTTGTCCCGATGATATTACAGCCGCTAGAGGACCTAATGGAGATGGATGCGAATGTCAGTATTCGCCGTATGGTTGCTGTCCAGATAACAGAACACCAGCTAAAGGTAGAGGATTACTATACTCTATAAATACTTACTCTCTCTTTGGATGGAACAAACATAAATGCTGCCCAAAAGAAAAGGGGGACAAAACAAATATCAATGTGCTTTTAATGTCTTTTTTCTAGGTTATAACAAGGAAGGTTGTGGATGTGCGTATTCCCAATTCGGATGTTGTCCAGACCAAGCCACCGAAGCACACGGGCCAAATTACGAAGGATGTCCGTGTCATGCCTTCCAATTTGGTTGTTGTCCTGATGGTGTTACAGCTGCTGATGGACCACATCAACAAGGTAAATAAATGTTTCCTAATAATTTTAATAATTAAAATCGACCTTAGGTACACTAAAATATTTTTTTTCCATAGCAATTGTTAAAATTGCCTTATATCTATCAAAAATAGTAGATAATTAATAATAGTACTTTAACCGCAAGGGCAGATTAAATGATACTTTAACAGCGAAGATTGGTTAAAAACTTTATTTCTTCTCGCGCGTTTTTTAATTTCCTCCATTTTTGAAAATTTTTGTATTCCTTTTAATAATAATAATAAGTTATTCGGGATTTAAACGGAAGTAGTTTGGATATGGCGTTTGTCGCCTCAGCCTGAATATCTGTTGGTAATTTACTTATTTCGTTTTGAGCCATTTCTGGCTCCAATTCAATCAGCAATCGATACGAAAGAGAATTAAAAAATATTGACTCAAAACTGACAACTAAAGAGACAGCTTTATTTATTTGTCAAATTACATAGAAACCAACGCCAACCCAGCACAATATTTTTTCTACTCGTAATAAATTCCTTGAAATAATAATTTCTGAATATTTTTTAAAACGTAACGCGCTAACCATTTTATCGTCTTGTATAAAAAATAACTATTAATTCTGGATATTGCAAAACTTATTAAAGTATCTTGAACGAGTTACTTATTTTTATTTTGTTCTTGTTTTTTCATGTCTTTAGCTTTATGGATGGTAAGAAAACATTTTTTTTTCAAATTAAAGCAATTTTATATTTTTAAAATAATTTTCTTTGCACATCCTTAGGTTGCGATTGTAGAACGACTGAGTTCGGTTGCTGTACTGATGAGAAGACACCTGCTAGAGGACCTAATGCTGAAGGATGTGGTTGTGAAACCACCAAGTTTGGTTGCTGTTTAGACGGAGTGAACGAAGCCAAAGGAGATAACTTTGAAGGATGTGAACAAGTTCCGGAAGATCAACAAAGTAAGTCTTTTTTTTTGAATCAAGTGATATTTAACTTAAAAGGTTGTCTGATAAATTTTAGATCAATTATTTTTAATATTTAAAACTATTATAGTTTTGTTCAAAATATGGCTTACTACAATTTTGTTAAAACGTTTTGTGTTAGCCTCAAGAAGTTATAAATTAAAATTTAAATCACTATTTTAGGTAGTTGTTCATTGCCTAAAGAACGAGGACCTTGCAGAAATTACACTGTCAAATGGTTCTTTGACATGTCCTATGGTGGATGTTCTAGATTCTGGTATGGTGGTTGTGAAGGCAACGATAACAGGTTCAGAGGCAAGGAGGAATGTGAAGCTGTTTGCGTTAAACCTGAAGGAATAGGTAACATAACCCTTTTTAAGATTATACAGTGTGTTTAAGAGAAATAAACACATGAAAAACAGTTTGTTTTAAATTTTCTATGAATGTTTTTCTTAATGAAAGTTCTTTGTAATTACAGCTTCTTTTAATTTTCAAATAAAGGCCCTGTTGTGTACATATATCTCTTTCATAACATATTTTATGTTTTTTAGATAGATGTAAACTGCCCAAAGTACAAGGGTCTTGCGAAGGCTACTTTCCTCAATGGTACTACGACAAAGAATCGAAACATTGCACACAGTTTATTTATGGTGGATGTCTTGGAAACAACAACAAATTCGAAACCAGAGAAGAATGTGCTGGACTATGTTCTAAGGATGATAGTACTGGTAAGGAAATCGATACATACTTAGTATAGTTAAAATTGTCCTTAAAATTACAGATTTTTTAATGTATATATTTATTTCAAACAGCAATTAGTTTTAAGATTTAATTATTCTATCATCAATTTGAGAACTGTTTCTTCTAGTGTTTTATTTAGTACCAATTTACACTAGGTTAACCAAGAATTTAACATATTTTAATTTTTATAGATCCTTGTCAACAAAAGGTAGACGCAGGTCCTTGTCGTGGTCAATACAGACGTTACTACTATGACTCATCATCAGGGCAATGCCAAGCCTTTGCCTACGGAGGCTGTAGAGGAAACAACAACAATTTCGTTTCTGTAGAAGCGTGCAAGCAAAAATGTGCACCTGCTGGTATACAAAGAGGTAAGAAAATAAAAAAAAGTGAATCAGATACAAATATATTATGTATAACTAAGGTAGCATGAGGGAAAAATAATTTGTATTTTAATAAGGGGGGGGGGGATATTGTCACTGGAGGTGTAGAAATAACATTTTAATTTCAGCTTTATTGAGACTATTACTATAAAAAATAATAGGAAAAAATAACCAGAAATTCAAAAAACGAAAATAACAAGATTCTCTCTTCTACAAAATGACAGAAAGATTTTTGGCAGAGTAAACATTCTGGCGTTATTTTTACAATAAAAAATGTGTGCCTAAAAAAATATAAAATGTTTCATATACTTAATCTACTTTTAGTTAACTAGCTAGATTAAATATTACAGGAAGTGTAACAAAGAAACAAGTGCAGTAAAAAAGCAAAAAAATGGCACACCAAATTCTAGACCTCCTAACAGCAAATCATAAATAAAAATACGTCTAAAAAACTAGAACCCCACGTTGGGCGCCATAAGTGTTATTTCTATGCCTGCTGTCACGTCGTATTTATTCAGTAACACGGTACTTATGTAGTACTACCCAATAATATTTAATTTTAGTTCTCTTTAATATAACATAAATAAAAGATTAATTAATTAGACTTAGATTATATTAGCATGTGGATAATTTCTAACAATTATTATTAACATTTTAAACTGTGAATGCCTGTTAGATTATTGCACGAATCCAAAGGATGAAGGTAACTGCACGTCTAAGGAGGCTAGGTGGTACTACGGTGCAAGGGAAAGGAGGTGTATACCGTTTTATTATAGTGGATGTAATGGTAACAAGAATAACTTCGACAGCAAAGAGACTTGCGAAGAGCAATGTCCTCAGCAAGTTGGTAAGTTGGGGTTTGTGTGTAGTTTCTTTTAACTTTTTGCCGTGTTCATAATAGTCATTTTGATTGAAGAATGTTGTATTTTTTGTATTGTTTGTGTAGATAATTGTAGTTGGATTGTTTAGTAGCATAGATAAAAATTAAACAGAAAATATGGTTTATACTGCAATTTTTGATTGGTGTTACAATAAGAAAATTAAATAGTTATAGATACTTTAATTCTAATACGACGAGTTTTTAAAATTCTGTTTGAGCTGAGCATGATGCTTTTAATAGTTATTAGATGTCGTATACTGACTCAAGACAGCATACCGTCTTATTATACAAGGTGTCCCAGAAATAAGTGTAAGTATTTTAACTGGTAGTGTATTTCGGCCTCAGAAACACGCCTATGAGGTATTTTTTGCGAAAAATTTCCGTGAAAAAAAAAAGAAAATCCAGAAAAGATCCAGTGGTTCTCAAAATTTAATCAAAAAAGCATTTTTTTTTTGCTTTTTTTGCTGATCTTAATAGCCTATCATACCTGTTGGTATGGCTAATAACTCGGTCATTTTGGACTTATTTGAAAAACGGTAAAGCGAAAAAATGTTTCTTTTGACCAGATCTACCACCCTTTAAAATACTTACACTAATTTCTGGGACATCCTGTATGAAAAGTAAAGAAAAGTAACATGAAAAAAACTATAAACAATTTATTAAATATTTTTAAGTTCTTACCATATCTAATTTTATATAGCTAAAGATACTTGCCACCTGCCTGCCGATATTGGCGAATGCGGTAACTACGTTGAAAGGTGGTACTACGACACGAAATTGCGCAGATGCCGTCAATTCTACTACGGAAGCTGCGGAGGCAACGGAAATAACTTCATAACAGAATCAGAATGTGAACAGTCTTGCTCACGACCTGAAGTACCACCGCAAATTGACACAAGGTACTATCCTCAACCGACAGAAGCACCGGAAGTAACAGAACCACCCAGAACTCAACCTCCTTGGCCACAGGTTCAAGTACCTAGTACACATAGGGCTCTTACTCTTGAAGGTATGATAATATATGTTCCATTATGAAAATATACTTTTTTCTATAGCAACTGTTAAAGTTGCCTTATATCTATCAAAAATAGTACTTTAACCGCAAGGATAGATTAAATGATACTTTAACAGCGAGGATAGGTTAAAACCTTTATTTCTTCTCGCACGTTTTTTAATTGCTTCCATTTTTGAAGACTTTTCTATTCCTTTTCATAAGATATTCGGGATTTAAATGGAAGTAGTTTGGATATGGCGTTTGTCGCCTCTGCCTGAATATCTGTTGGTAATTTACTTATTTCGTTTTGAGCCATTTCTAGTTCCAATTCAATCAGCAATCGACACGAAAGAGAATTAAAAAATATTGACTCAAAACTGACAACTAAAGAGACAGCTTTATTTATTTGTCAAATTACATAGAAACCAACGCCAACCCAGCACAATATTTTTTCTACTTGTAATAAATTCCTGGAAATAATAACACAGGTCTGCGAAATAAAAGTTTTGAAAATTGTTTTTATTTTAATGGCTCATTTTTAATTAACTTTGAGTGCTGATTCCAAAAATAAAATTCATTTTTTTCTATCACGTCTGGTTATCTTACAAAAAAAGGACCTACTTTGGAAAAAAATCAATTAAACAAAGTTTTTAAAATAATTCTTAGGGTTTTAGTTTTTATTTAACATTAAGGAGTACTATATTTGTTTACATTCATATAACGAAATACAAAAAAAGAGTCATTTAATTCAAAAATCTTTATAAAACCTCTTTGGCTTGACATCAATACTTCTTTTAGTGCTTTTCTTGCTGTGGGTACGCTCAGGATTGTCCCTTTTTAACATCCAGCAGTACTCTGCTGTCATATTGACATTTTATCTTCTTTGATACCTTCTTTCAATTTCTTTGATGTCTTGATGAAATCTCTCTCCCTGTTATTCACTGATATCACCCAGATTTGAAGGAAGGTAGTCCAGATGGGAGTGGAGAAAATAGATTTTAATGCTCATGTTGCAGTGTAATTTGTGTGGTGAGGGACGGACGAATCGACCATCGCACATGTCATAGCGTGTTATAGCGTCGGATGGCGTGGCGTGTTGCCTAGTGTGTACGCAATACATATAATTAAATGGAAAAACATACGCACTGATCTTCATGACGTGGGGTAGCATGGCATCGCGTGGCGTAGCGTGTTGGCTAATGGGGTCCGGGCTTTAATCTTTTCGATCGACAATAAAATACCATTTTATCGTCTTGTATAAAAAATAACTATTAATTTTTTTTTTAATTATTATTTTTAGAAATTTGTTCGTACCGGCCGGATACTGGACCCTGTGCCGAATACAAGACTCAGTACTACTATGACGGAAATGATGGTCTCTGTAAGAACTTCACTTACGGAGGATGCGGAGGAAACCACAATAATTTCGAAAGTGAGGAGCAGTGCTTGCAGTACTGTGGATCAGTTAGGACTAGGCCAGAACCAGAAGTACCTGCTACGCAAGGCCCCCCACCACAAGGTACTTACTATACGGAGATATCTAGCGAATAAAACTTTAAAAACTAAAAAAATTGACTGAATTGATTAAAAAGAAGTGTACTACTAATATTGATTAAAATTATGTTTTATCCTTATTATGCCTATTTAATTTTTTGATTATTTAATAGTCATTTTTTACTCACTTGTTTCGTCGAACTGCGTGAATCTATTTTTCATGATCAAATGGACGTATACAGGGTGGTCTGAACTGTATTCCGGATACTTCGGCAGCATATATTCTGCAAATAAAAATAAGTAAAAAAGTTTGTATAAATGTATGCCTTAAAATGCTTAGTTTCAGGGTGATACAGGGGAGATACAGGGTGTAGAAGTTTCATTTTTATTTAGAGAGAGAGAGAGAGAGAGAGAGAGATTTTCTCCAATAATTTCTGAAGTAACAAGTCAATATTTTCATGAAAATTTGTTCCTGGGAGTTTTTTAACATGAAAAATTTGATTTTGATGTCCATATGACTCCTATTTGTACAGGGCGCCACCTATATATCTTTTAACAGGTATGAAGAGTAATAACTTTTCGTCCATACCTGTATAAAAGTGCTGAGTAAAAAAATATACATTTACGACTTTTTTTACATAAAAAAGGTCTCTTGGTAAAAATCGCTACGAGTAATGGTTCTCAAGGTATTTGGAATTGAAATTATCAATACCTCTCATCATATTGACATAAATTAAACATGTTTACTAAATAGTAATTACACTGAAATTATAAATTTGAAATGGTCTCTTGCCAAAAGTTCAACAGAAACAGTTTAATCATTATTTTTATTATTGTTACGTTTTTCGTCGGTTCCGTGTGGATAGAAAGTCACAATTTATTTAAACACTATTTATTTAACACTAATTAACAAAAATAATAACGATAAAAGACTTATAGAACTATTTACAAACGATTTATAACTAAGAATTTATTTTGAATTTTAGCGCGTCAACTGCACTGGTATATTTATAACTGCCCTCTCTAGGCCACAGCCGCCGGCTTTTATACCTACAGCTAAAAAAACTCTAGAATAGTCCATAGATCGTTAGGTGCATAGAGAAGGTTTCGGTTGTTCTCGTATGTACTACTCCATTCCAGTGGAACTCGTTTCTTCTCGAATCTTCGAATGAATCATTACTGTGTCTATTCTTTAATGCGATGTTAAGGTCATCCGAGGGCGGGCTATATAGTTAGGTTAGGTCGAGTCCACACCGGTCCGCAACACTGCCCCCTTCTTAGGTACATGCTCGTCCCGAGATGTACACGGTGAATGAAGGTATTTGCAAAGCTGGCCCCTGGTACATTGCGAAGTCTGGTAGAAATAGAAGTTTACAGTTTTCTCTCCCGATCTCAGCTTTGGGTTGTAGCAGCAAACAAGGATCTCGATTCCCGTAAATCTGAACAAGACTTCAATCATGTTCCGGATTGTACGCCAACTCAAACCATCGAGTCCACATGCCAGCTTCGGAATGGCTAATCGTGTAATGTTGTTGTTTAGCAGGGCTTCTCTCATTTCAATCAGGGTCTTCCATAGATTGAGACTCACTTGGGGGCCATTCCTTGGTGACTAGGTAGAAAATGTGCCTTGCTTGACCAAGTTCATTGTCGGTTAGCCTCAAGACGCTTCGAATCTCTGGATCCTGTCGGCGTAGTTCTCCGACTCGCCCAAACTTCTCATTGAACGTCGCAGCGATTCCTCTGGACATCCGCAAATCTCGGGCCACACAGTGAGCGAGCGAATAATCAGGAGCCACGAAAAAGAGGTCTCGTTGTTCTTCTTTGGTTACACCATAGCGAGCCTTCTGACTGCTGTTGTATCGGGCCATGAAATCGTCAAAGGACATCTCCGAATCAGGGGGATCAAAGCTGCAGGTTCTCACGGTCCCAGCACGATCTTCTATTTCGCCTTGATAGGGGCTCAAACGGTTGAAATGAATTACCCTCGGCTTTCCTTTTGGCAATTTTCTGATACGGTATACGACGTCATTAATCCTATCCATGACTTCGTATGGCCCTTCCCACGAGGATTGTAGCTTCGGAGATAACCCACGATGCTCAGCTTGAATGTCGTAGTGTTCCTTCATTCGGTCACTAGCGCTTTGAATATCTATGCGGACTCGCTGATGGATGTCGTCCATCCTTTGGCGTAGTCTATGGACATAATCTTCTCCGGCGACATCTTCTCCCGGTCGGCAACCAAGCTTCACATCACAAGGTAGGCGCACTTCCCGTCCCATAACGATGCTGGCTGGAGTTTGCCCTGTGGATTCTTGGACGGATGAACGACAGGCCAACAGGAACAGGTGAAGAAATTTGTCCCAGTCTCTTTGGTGGTCAGAGACTACTTTGGCCAAATAACGGTTGATGGTTCTGTTCATGCGTTCAACCATCCCATCGGATTGTGGATGCAGAACAGTCGTCCTGGTCTCGCGGATGTTAAGGACTTCACAGACGCCTTGGAACAGATTGGACTCAAAGTTTCTTCCCTGATCTGAATGCAGCTCCATGGGAACACCAAACCTGCTGATCCATTCCTTAACAAGAGCATCAGCAATGGTGGACGCTTCTTGATTTGGCAACGCGTAGGCCTCGACCCATTTGCTGAAGTAATCCATTACTACCACAATGTATTTGTTGCCAACGTTCGTCTCCGGGAAAGGACCTGCCACGTCGATTGCTATTCGTTCGAAAGGACTGCCTACATTGAACTGGCGCATTGGAGCTTTACCACGCTTTTGTGGTCCATTGATAGCAACGCAAACGTCGCATTTCTTACACCAGGCCCTCACGTCTTCTGTGCAGTTCACCCAATAGAACCGTTCACGCAGCTTGCCAAGGGTCTTGCTAACACCAAGATGCCCACCGCTGGTTCCATTGTGAACTTCCGCCAAGACTTCCGGGACCCTCTTCTTTGGAATGACGATCAGCATTCTCTCTTCTTGTCCCTCTGGTCTCTCAATCACACGGCGAAGTAATCCGTTATCTATTACTAATGAATTCCACTGGGACCAGTACGACTTCACGTTCGACGAATATCTGCAAACTTCCTCCCACGTTGGTCTCTGGTCCGCGTTTTTCCAGTTAATCACCAAGCCTAATTCTGGGTCACTGGTTTGGTCATTTGCAAGATCTCCGGGTTGCCAACCATCATTAACCACAGTTGTTCTTAGGAGTTTCACTTCTTTCTCTCTGCTCTCAGAACAATGCTTACAGTCCTTAGCGCAAAAGGTCTTCTGGAAAGTGCGTCGGCATTTCGATGGATTGTCCCAGCTCGATATTCTGTGTCGAAGTCAAATTTTCTTGTAATCGTTCAATCCATCTAGCTACCTGCCCTTCAGGGATTCTTAAACTGCAAACAGCCATTTCAAAGCAGCATGGTCTGTTCTTAACAAGAACTTTCTTCCATAGAGAGATACTTGTAGAAGTGTTCCACTGCTTTAACTACTGCTAGTAATTCTCGTCTGGTTGCTACAGTAGTTCCTTTTCCGGTTTTGACAAGGTCTTACTAAAATAACCAATGACTTTTCTTGGACCATCCTGGATCTGAGACAGAACAGCGCCTAATGCAACATTGCTATGTCGGTATCCAATATAAAGTTTCCTGCTGCCAAGAGGGTAGCTAAGCATGGGCGCAATCTAGTCAGGCCTTCTTCAATTTTTCGGAATGCCTCGTCAGAATCTGAGTCCCAAGAGAAACGCCTCTCGCCTTCGGTAAGTCTGGTCAATGGTTTTTGCGATGGTGGCGAAACCCCTACATAGCGTCGATAGTATGTGCATAGTCCCAAAAAGCTTCGTAGTTCATGTTTATCTTTGCAGGTATCGGCCACTCTTCCACTGTCTCTGGTCTTCTGTGGATCTACCGCAACTCCTTGGGAGGAGACCATATGGCCCAAGTAGTGTACCTTTTTCTTGGACACAGATGACATTTCTTGGGGCTAAGTTTCAAACCAGAACTCCCTAGTCGCTTGAAACTTCTTCCAAATTCTTCAGATGATGGTCAAAGGATTTCCCAACCACTATGATGTCATCCAGGTACACTAAACAGGTATCCAGGATAGTCCCTTTAACACAGACTCCATTAGTCTCTCAAAGGTAGCTGGCGCGTTGCACAATCCAAAAGGCATGACGGTAAATTGCCACAGTCCGGAGCCCACCGAGAACGCTGTCTTCTCTCTGTCTTTCGGCGCCATGTCGACTTGCCAATATCCACTCTTCAGATCTAACGTAGAGAATATCGTTGACCCCGCCAGCGTGTCTAGAGTATCGTCTATCCTCGGCAGGGGATAACTATCCTTCTTGGTAACATTATTGAGCTGCCGATAATCAACACAGAACCTGGTGGTACCGTCTTTCTTCTTTACTAGTACTACCGGCGATGTCCACGGGCTGTTAGATGGTTCGATGACACCCTCTTCTTTCATTTCTCGAAGGATTTTATCAGCTTCTTCACGTTTGGCGAGCGGAAGTCTTCTCGGATTTTGTTTGATTGGTCGTGCATCTCCGGTATCAATTTTGTGTTGTACTAAATTGGTACGACCTCTCTGTCCTGCTTCTCCTTTATCAAACACATCTTGATACTTGATTATCAGGTTTCTCAATTTTCTTCTATTTTCGGGAGATAATCCTTTAACGTTTACTAACTCCTTCACCATTTTGTCCGGAATTTTTGAAGTCGAAACTTTGGAGGCTTCCACGCTTCGAACGACTGAGGAGACCGAACAACAGTACCCTAAGAGGGTTCCCTTCTTCAAGGATACAGAATAATAATTCGTGTTCATTACTCTCACCGGTACAGTTTTCTTCGCTCGTAGCAGGGCTTTTCCAACAGCGATCCCTCGTCCTATTTCGCTGTCATGGTTCCTTGGCTCCAACAGAATAATACTCCCATTATTCATTTTACCTTCTAGGCAACCATCCAAAAATATCTCACAGCGCTCAGGGATCGAAACATCTTCTGCTACCACCACGCGAAGCGTCTCCTCACATTTTCGATGCAGAACCACTTCTTCTTCATTTATTTTCAAAATTCCTTGTTTGAGGTTTAGCTCAAAACCTCTAGTGGTCATGATGTCCATTCCGAGAATAAGTTCATCTCTCGATATCTGTTACCAACACTGGATGTTCAAAACTGGTGCTCCCAATAACAAAATTAAGGTTTACTTCTCCATGGACAGCAGCGGAGCCCCCGTGGCAGTACGTAGTCGCCATTGTGTTGTTTTTAACCTTCTTCGATGTTTTAAGAATGTCCGGTCTGATGATAGTTTTCGTCGCACCTGTATCATCAACAGCATGGTCCGGAACTCTCCATCAACAAACCATCCACAAAAATGCTGTTGAATTTGTGTTGTAGCGAGGCGACTTGAGTAGTTTTCGTTGGGGCAGCTGTTAAAGTACAGGTCGACGTGTGCCCCCTTCATTTCGACCCTTAGTAGTTTTCCGACCTCGACGAAGCTTTGGTTCTTCGTTCTTCTCCTTACAACGGCTTCGCACGTGTCCCAATCTGTCCGCAGTTCCAGCAACGAATCGGTCCCTTCTTGCCCATGTACTGGTCCATTACCTTCCGAACAATCCCTTCCACGGATTCGTCGGAACATTCGTCGATGGCCCCTACTCTCCTCCTAAAGACCCAGAACTTTGTTTCAAGGGCCTCAAATTCTAGGGCACGTAAGCAAAGCATCCACCAAGTGCGTTGGTTGGGCTAGGAGAAGTGCTTGTCTTGTCTCTCGTTATCACGTAAGCCGTCGGAGAATGCCTGTACTGCCAACCGCTCCATAACATTCTCTCATGTAGCAGGGTACGCAAGGCGAACGAGGCGGGCTACGTTATTTTCAAACTCCAGCAGAGACTCATTTGACTTTTTGAATGCGATTTTTTAGCTGGGAATGATAGACATGTTCCAAATAGAGCTTGGCCGTACCTCCTCATTTCTAAATGTCGTACCAATTGCTGATAATCTCCCCTGTTCCGATGGTGACAATATCTGCAGGATATCAGTCGCATCTCCTCGCAGTGCGACAAGTCAAAGCCGATGGCCTTTTCAGCGGATTGTCCATCCGTTCGCTCTCGCAGCGGCCCTCAAACTGGCAAAAATAATTGGCCCAAGCGGTTTTTCCGTCAAACTGTGGAGGCTTAATAACTGACTTTGAGATATACTTATTTTCGACTAGTTTCGGTGCCTCCGATGTTTCTTGACATTTTGGTGAATTGGCCTTTTCTATTTCTTGTTTTAAAATTTCGATTTTTCTATTTACATCTTCCTCAATCTCCGTTATTTTGTCTTGTAGTTCCGTAGAATTCTCTATAATCTTATTGTTTAAACTTTCTTCTAAATTAAGTATTTTGTCATTGAAACTGGCTTGTAGATCTTTAGAATTTTCTATGATTTTATCCTCTAAAATATTAATTAAATCCTGGGAATTTTCCATAATTTTATCTTTCAAACTGTCTTCTAATTTTTGAGAATTCTCTGTGATTTTATCTTCTAAATTAACTTCCAAGTCAATTATTTTACTATTCAAATTGTCGTTTAAATTGTCTTGCAATTCCCGGGAATTTTCTGTAATTTTGTCATTCAAACTGTCTTCTAATTTTTGAGAGTTTTCCGTCATTTTAGCTTCTAATTTTTGTAGGCACGAGTCAAGGTCACCTTCGAACTCAAAGCAAAATGTGTCCGGATCCTCGCCTTCCTCCCTTAAAACGTCTCTCAGTCTGGTTTGCAAAATGCTTTTCTTTCCATCTGTCTCGCACTCTCTCTCTTCCAATATGGATTTCAGTTCGGACACTTTCAAGTCTTTCAACAATTTCTTCGCAGCCATTGTTAGTCTTTTTATTTTTCAGTCTATCACACACGCCACACTTGACACCAATTGTTACGTTTTTTCGTCGGTTCCGTGTGGATAGAAAGTCACAATTTATTTAAACACTATTTATTTAACACTAATTAACAAAAACAATAACGATAAAAGACTTATAGAACTATTTACAAACGATTTATAACTAAGAATTTATTTTGAATTTTAGCGCGTCAACTGTATATTTTTAACTGCCCTCTCTAGGCCACTGCCGCCGGCTTTTATACCGACAGGTAAAAGAAATCTAGAATAGTCCAAAGATCGTTAGGCGCATAGAGAAGGTTTTCGAATGTTCTCGTATGTACGAGTCCATTCTAGTGGGTCTCGATTCTTCTCGAACGAATGAATCATTGCGGTGTCTATGCGATGTTAATGTCATCCGAGGGCGGGCCATATTGTGAGGTTAGGTCGAGTCCACACCGGCTCGCAACATTATTAAGTTCCCAAATATATCATTTCAGCCAAATAACCTACTCAACATGTTTATTTTTTGTCAATATTGACATGTTTTGACTATTTCTATTCTAAATATCTTGAGAACTGTTGTTCGTAGCGATTTTTGCCAAGAGACATTTTTTACGTTGAAAATTACGGAAATGTATATTTTTTTACTCAGTAGTTTTATACAGGTACGGACGAAAGGTTATAACTCTTCAAAACAGTTAAAACACATATAGGTGGCGCCCCTTACAAATAGGAGTCATATTGACATTAAAATCAAATTTCTCATGACAAAAAACTTCCCGACACCAATTTTCATCCAAAAATTGACGCTACTTCAGAAATTATTTGGAAAAAATCGAAATAAAAATAAAACTTCTACACCCTGTATCTCCGAAACTAAGCATTTTTGAACATACATTTATACGAACTTTTTTTACTTATTTTTATCTACTAGAATATGTTGCCGAAGTTTCCGGAACACAGTTCGGACCACCCTGTATAATAGGTAATCAAGATATTTCGACAAAAAACTTTTTTGCAGTACCACCACCAGTGGACACCCAGTGCTACGAAGAACTGGATGCAGGAAATTGTACCGACGCCTATCCAGCTTTCTACTTTGACAGGAATAGTCAAAGTTGCGTACCGTTCAATTATACAGGGTGCGGAGGAAATAGGAACAGGTTTTACAGTGCAGCTGAGTGCGAGAGGAGATGCGGAAGCTACAGAGGCCAAGGTAAAACAACCATTCACAAATAATATTTACATTATAAAGAAATATTTTAAAAAACTCTTACTGAAAAATATTTTTGAGTTTTTTGAAAAATAAAAAAAAATATTATTGTTTTTACTTAAGAGTTCTTCCTCCTGTCAAAATATTTAATATATCTTGAATAGTAAATTAATAACAAAAAATATACACTAAATATTGTTTTTTACAACAGATATATGCAATATTGATAGCGATGCTGGTCCATGCAGAGGATATTTTCCTAAGTACTACTATAATATTTACACACGAAAATGCGATACCTTTATTTATGGAGGTTGTGAAGGAAATGGAAATCAATTTGAATCGGAAGATGAATGTAAACGATACTGTGAACGGGCTCCAGAACAGCCAGAACCACAACCAGAACCACCTGTACTGAATAGCACAGGTAAGAGCAGAATTACTCAACCCTATTCATTTATTGTTTATTATGTTTAACCTGTATTTTATATAGGGTTCGGCAATAGCGTGTCGAGTATCTGTAGCTGCTAGAATAAAAAACTTGGGAATTTTGTTTGTGTGCAAACCTAAAGTATGTACTAGGATGTATTCCAGGAAAATATTTTAACTTCTATAGGGTGGCTCAAAAAAGTGTGAGTGGATCGGGATGATTTTTTTTAACCGGAACACCCTGTATATTATTGCATTTTTGGCTTCCTTTCAGATCATTTTATATAATCCTAAGATATGAATAAATATATTTCGATAGTTTCAGAGATATTAATAAATCTTCTTCAGCCTTTTTTAAAAAAAAATATTAAAAATACAAGGACTGTCCGGAAATCAAAACTATATTAGGTAGATAAATCAAAACTATTTAGATAGTCTGTAATTAAATTTGCTATAAATATGGTAATCGTAAATCATACAGGATGTTCAAAATTCTACGCCAAACTTTTTAAAATAAAAAATAATTTTTCTTCGCTTTTTTTAATGGAACACCCTGTATATTATTTTTTCAATAGATGGAGAATTAAAAAATGATTTTTTTTTGCATTTAGAGTACTTCAAAATGTTTAACACTTTCACAGAATTCGCGGTTTTAAATTTCATATGGCATTTTCCACAGTAAATTTTTTTCAAAGCCACCCGTACACAGAAATACTTTAAATACAAAAAATGTTCATTTTTTAATTCTCCATCTAATAAAAAAATAATATACAGAGTGTTCCATTTAAAAAAAAAAGAAAAATTATTTTATATTTTAGAAAGTATGGCGTAGAATTTTGAACACCCTGTAAGATTGCGATTTTTATAGTCAAGCAAGTATAGACTATCTAAAGTAAATACCTAATTTAGTTTTGGTTTCATGACCGTTCTTGAGTTTGCAATAATTTCTTTAAGGATGGTTGAAAATAAATATATTTTTCACATATTATTCATTAATTAATATCTCTGAAATTATCGAAATATATTTACTCATATCTTAGAACTATGTAAAGTGATCTGAAAGAAAGCCAAAAATGCAATAATATACAGTGTTCCATTTAAAAAAGAATCGTCCCGATCCACTCATACTTTTTTGAGCCATCCTGTAGAAGTTAAAATATTTTCCTGAAATACATTCTAGTACATATTTAAGGTTTTCACTTAAACAAAATTCCCAAGTTTTTTCTCATTCTAGGAGCTACAGACGCACTTTTGCCGGACCCTGTATAGAAACAAATAATCGTATTTTTCTTATAATTCCAACTCTCCCTTGTATGAATAACTAAAAATAATAAAAAAATATTAATTTCTGCTTGAAGAACTCTTCCAAACTTGGGTATGCATTTAATGCTTATTATCAGCAATAAACAAAGACAAAATAACATGCACATATTTACAATATTATTATTTGATATGTTAGTTTTATTTATAAGTAATATAAGTAATATATTTATTAATAAATATATTAATATATGGCTGACTTCCGTCGTTCTAATTTTATTTTAAACGTCTAATAACATAATGCAGGGATAGACTCAATATAACAGTACGTAGATAGATACAAACAAGTTTTTTTCTTACTAACCCCCTAACCACTTCTAACTTGCTCTACTCGCAGAGGTGTGCCAACAGCCTGCAGACCAAGGTAACTGCCCAGAGAGAAACCTGAAACGGTGGTACTTCGACAACATCCAAGGCGAATGCAAAGCCTTCATTTACAGCGGTTGTGGAGGCAACTACAACAACTTCAAAAACTTCCAAACTTGTATCGACTTTTGTCGAGAATTCTTACCGCAACCTCGTAAGAACAGCTCATTTCTAACAGCTTCCTATTTGATTTTAACAATGCACCGCAATTTTTCAGCTTTCCACACTTTTTTCCAGGCTAACATTTTGGGCTTTTTCAGAAAGCTTGGCGTTCCAGAGTGATATGCATCGATAAAACATTACTTACGTTTCATACTACCATATAATCGATAAAAAAAACGACGTTAAAGGCGGCTGTGAAATGAGAATCTATGACAATTTTGGCGATGTGTTGTTTGATTTGTGTGTCTGGAAATGTTCTATCTTTTTTTTAATCTTTCCATAAATTAGTGTTAATTTATGACAAGTGTTATGTAATTTTTTAGTAAATATCGTGTAGATGAGATTGACCTCACCAAAAGTATCATCGATTACTATTCCCCAGCCTTCTTTGACGCTGTTTTTTTTCGATCATACGCTATACAGGGTGGTCCGAACTGTATTTCGGAAACTTCGGCAGCATATAATGCAGACAAAAAGAAGTCAAAAAGTTCGTATAAATGTATGTCCTAAAATGCTTAGTTTCGGAGATACAGGGTGTAAAAGTTTCATTTTTATTTCGATTTTTTCCAAATAATTTCTGAACTTAGATCAATATTTGGATGAAAATTGGTATCTGAGAAGTTCTTTGACATGAGAAATTTGATTTTGATGTCAATATGACCCCTATTTGTAGGGGGCGCCACCTACATGTTTTTTAACTGTTTTGAAGAGTAATAACTTCTCGTCCGTATCTGTATAAAGCTAATGAGTGAAAAAATATACATTTACTTGATTTTTTACGTAAAAAATGTCTCTTGGTAAAAATCGCTACGAGTAACCGTTATCAATATGAAAAATGAAAGAACCAAAATATTGCACAACGAAGCGCAACACACACATACACTACACAACGCGCTGCGCAAACATTCCTGTTGCACAAAAGAATTCAGACATTCTTGAAACTCATCAAACAATTGCGCAACGCATCAAACACTACCTTACATTGGCAACTCGTTGCGCAACAGCATGCGTTGCGCAATTTGTTTCATCATGTATGTGCCGCTATACTCGTAGCGATTTTTACCAAGAGATTTTTTTACGTAAAAAACATCGTAAATGCACATTTTCGTACTCATTTGTTTTATACAGATACGGACGAAAAGTTAGTTTAGTTATAAAAATATGTAGGTGGTGCCCTCTTTAAGTAGGAGTCTTATTGACATCAAAATCAAATTTCTCATGTCAAAAAACTCCCAGACACCAATTTTGCAGCCAAATATTGACGTTACTTCAGATATTATTTGGAAAAAATCGAAATAAAAATGAAACTTCTACACCCTGTATCTTCGAAACTAATCATTTTAGGACATACATTTATACGAACTTTTTTACTTATTTTTATCTTCAGAATATGCTGCCGACACTACACCCTGTATAACTGACCACGGCTAGAAAATGACCATCAAGACTCGTCAAACCTTCTCATTTTTAAATGTACTTTAAAAACCGTTGTTTTTTTGTAGCCGAACGCGAACCTGAAGGCTTCTCAACTGAAGAGTGCCAAAGAAAATTCGAAGAATGCAACAGCTTGCTGTGCTCTTACGGAGTAGAAGCCTACGTTGACGAACACAACTGTAGAGTCTGCAGATGCGTAGATCCTTGCAAAGACGTCTACTGTCCTGAAGGAAGCAGATGCGGAATCGACTTGAACACCAATAAAACATCAATAGATGATGCTGAATTCATTGCAGTTTGTCGAGAAAGTAAGGAGGCATAAAAATATAATTTTTTCTATAGCAACTGTTAAAATTGCCTTATATCTATCAAAAATAGTAGATAAAGTAGTAGTTTAACCGCAAGGATAGATTAAATGATACTTTAACAGCGAGGATAGGTTAAATACTTTATTTCTTCTAGCACGTTTTTTAATTGCTTCCATTTTTGAAAATTTTCGTATTCCTTTTCATAAGTTATTCGGGATTTAAATGGAAGTAATTTGGATATGGCGTTTGTCGCCTCAGCCTGAATATCTGTTTGGTAATTTACTTATTTCGTTTTGAGCCATCTCTGGCTCCAATTCAATCAGCAATCGACACGAAAATTAAAAAAATATTGACTCAAAACTGACAACTAAAGAGACAGCTTTATTTATTTGTCAAATTTCATAGAGACCAACGCCAACCCAGCACAATATTTTTTCTACTCGTAAGAAATTTCTTGAAATAATAATTATTTCTGAATATTTTTTAAAACGTAACTCGCTAATGGAAAAAAATATTGTTTTATACACTACGATAAAATACCATTTTATCGTCTTGTATAAAAAATAACTATTTTTGTAGCTAATAAGACTGGCCAGTGTCCATATTCCACGACGTTCGATACGAATTGTGGGAAGGAATGTCAGACTGATGCTGACTGTTCGTTGCATCTGAAATGTTGCCCTACTAACTGTGGTACTTCCTGTGTTGAACCTGAAAGGCCTTTAGAGTTGGTGACGCAAAATGCACCGGCGTATACCACGCCATCTATAGTAGAAGCTTGTAAGTGTTGAAATATACTTTTATTAATAAAATTTAAGTAAAATTTTTTATATTATGTTCTTTATTTTGTGACTGTTACTAGATTATGCTCCGACGGTTGATGTGAAAGTCTTCCAGCCAGAAGTTAGCGGGTTACTAGGGGACCAAGCTATACTAAACTGTGCTGTAGTGGGCAATCCAAATCCCAGCATCACGTGGAGTAAAGATAACGTCATTGTAAGTTTATTACATATTTATTATAAAAAAATCACATAGAATACTGTGTACCGATACTTTCCAGTCAGGGTATACATATATAAAAAAAATAATCTAAAAATCAGCATAGAAATGCCATCTGTAAAGGTGGCAGTGGAATAGTTTAATAGTCACCTCATAGAATATCTAGTTTTTTTTTTATGATAACTAAAAGCCTTGTATATGGATTTTTAAAGTAGCTCAACCTAAGACGTTTATGGATGTAAAGCACCAGATGGCGGGGCGTATTTCACGGTCTTTTACTACAGAAAAATATTTTTTGTTACTCTGAATGTTGAAGCGACCAATAAAAACAGAGAAAATAAAAATCGATAATTTACGGACTGTGCCAATTGGTTACTAATCGACCAGATACTTTTTGTCTATTAGATATGCTATAAAAGCTGGTAATTATACAATTCGACCATTGTAAATACCCGACAAATTCCGCAAGGCCGACGAGGCCGATGCTTTTCACTGATAAGAAAAAGAAAATGTTTGTTTAGATAATTTTCGAGATATTTTTTCTTTCTGAATGCACATTTTTAAAGTATTTTATATTCTTTGTCCGCTTGATCTATTATACTGGTCGCACGTATCGAAGTTCTGTTTCTTCTAGTTTTAAAAAATGTTCTTATTTCTTTGTAGTGGTTGTAGTGTAAAATTGGATTAATTTTATTAAGTTTAATTATAATGTTTAGTTTAGAATACCACAAATAGTTTAGTAGTGTTTTTATAGTTTATTATTTTGTAGTTAAGTAGTAGGTGAAGGGATAATTTGGTTATTTTTTCTTTTTGTTTGATTAATTAGTAAGTTTGATAATTTTTTCAGTGTAGAATACAAGAAGTAGTTGTGTAGTGTTTTTATAAGATATTATATTAGTTTATTTTGTAGATGAGTAGTAGGTGAAGGTATTTGGGTATTTTTTCTTTTTGTTTTTCTTCAAATTGTAGTAATTCTATTAAGTATTGTGCTGGATACACTACATATCTTCCTTCAACTTCGTTGAAAAGTGCATTATCATATAATTTTGGTTTTCTGGTAGTAGAATATACGAAAAAAAAATCTGATCAAATTTATTTTAAATTAAATTAATCGAGTCTTATTAATGAAATTAATCTAGTCAAATAATAATAATAGTTAGTTTCTAAATACTACACAGGGTGAGTTTCCTACAATGTTCTCTATGGGTACCTCGGAAACTACTGGAGACTGGAGATAGAGAGTCGGTTAAATGGGGAAAGAATTGCAGTTTTGTGGGGTCATAAATATGCGCCTTTCGGATTTTTCAGAGAAGTTCAAGGCTTACTAGATATTTCGAAAAAAACAAATTTTGGCTATTTTAAAACTTTTGTCTCTAATTCCATTATAATCTACCGTATGATCGAGTAAAAACGGCGTCAACGATGTCTATGAAATGAAGATCGCTGTCATTTTATATGTAAAATTATATGGGAAATATCATCGATCGTCATTTCATAGCCATCGCTGACGCCGTTTTATTCGATCATACGGTATTATAGACAAAAAGTTTTCAGATAAAAGTTGTAGATAATCACATACCTAATGAGTTTGTGTTTTCTGTTTTTTTTTTCTAAAGCCTGTCATTTTTGACATATATGACACAAACGTTATGTTTTTTTTAAAATGGAAACCATAGTTTAGTTGGCCATGACTTCATAAAAAGCGTCATTTTTTAAGCTTTTCAGCGATATAGGTATTTATAAGTTATAGCCAATTCTTTTCTTTCTTGGCTAATTTCCATACTAATAATACCAATTAGTTGGCATCAAGAATGTAAAAAGTTTTATGTTTTCAAAAAAAATATCGTAAAATTCGTAAAGCACTCAATTTAGAATAAAATAATCTAAGAATGAAATGATTCTTTTATAAACCTGCATTAAATCAAATTAAAATAGGTATGTAAATTTTTTTAATATTAATAGCAATTAGCATTATCATAAATTATTATAAATAATGTACCAACATATCGAAATAATAATTTCTTTGTTAATACGGTTTAGAATTCTTAAAATAACCCAATTGCCAATAATCCACAATTTACAATAAAATAAAAGTTTTGTTTAAATTTCTTAATCAGCTGATCACTATTAAAGTTCGCAGAAACCCGGGGCTATATTATTACATTACTCTGAGGAAAATAACGAAAATAATCGATATTTTTGACTCCGCCCCGAAAGGTTCACGATTTGTCCTCCAGTTGGCAGCACATTTTGTCTAGTCGGTTGAACAACTTTAAGAATATATAAACAAGGCTAAAAGCATTGTGTTCAGTAAAGAGATTGACAAGTATCTTTTTACATGTCTTTGTCATAGGGTAATTTTCCAGTATTTTTTTTATTATTTTACATATTTTTCTTTTAAGTGACGTTTGGGTTCGGTTAAAGATAGATGGGCTCCCTTTTGTGAAAGGGCTGTATCAATTTAGCACCTTACAGAATTATACTTGGATTTTCTGTATATATACTCAACATTTATCATTTTCTTTAACACTTTCAGATCGACGGTACTCAACCTAGATACAGGATCCGTTTGGACCAGACTCTTCAAATCATCACACTGCATAAAACGGATTCCGGAGTGTACCTTTGTACTGCGGATAACAGTATAGGAGAACCTGTAAGGAACCAAATTAAGCTGGAAGTACAAGGTAACAAAATACCTTTTTATATTTAGTGTTGTGATGTAAATAGTGGTTTATGTAGTATCAAAATATATTCTTTTGTATTGCTTGAGGTGTATTTGCAAATAGAACTAGATTAATAATAAATTAAAAAATGGTCTATTCAAAACCAAGAAACAGTTAGTCAAAATTATAAAAAGAGTTTAAAATCTGATGTATGTATAGATGGATACGTTTTTTGTTACTCTTTCACGAAAAAATTGCTGAATGGATTTTAATGAAACTTTACAATAATATAGCTTAACAGGCTATAATTTATAGGAGAGCAATAAAATACCACGGGTTTCGGTTAAACTTTGTCAAACGACTCTCTTTATTCATGGACTATATATCTACTAGTAGAAATTAAATATGTAATAGATACTTTCAAATATTGTCACTAGGTGCTATAATAAATATTACTCTGCATGTTAATAAAATTCGAATTTTATGCTGACGAAGTCGCGGGAAAAATCTATTATAACTATATCTCTTAAACACTTTGGTTTTGAGTAGACAATGCATAGATTATTGGTGAGTTAACTGTAACTGATTTTCTAGAGATATTGTTACTAAAAACCTTTCGACCTCAAGTATCTGTTTTGTTTTTTGTAAAAAAAACACGAAGAGTTTTAGTTTCTAAATCTTCATGTATTGGTGCATTCTAAACAAATACACGCGTCTAAATAGCGAGTACAGAAAAAAATTGTTAAACAATATTTTGATATGTATAAGTTTTAAACTTATCAACATATATAGTAAACAATATCACTAGAAAAATTAAGTACATACTTACTCCTTCAGCTTAAAATATATCTTCATTAACATCTGACTTCTCCAAGCTAATTTTCCAAAGTAGCGTAGCCTAGAACTAACCTTCTTTCTTCTCATCTAACCTCAATAGACTCACCCGAAGGCCGTTCAGCCTCCATTCTTAACCTCAACGACCCAGAGCTCCAAGTGAACAACATAGTGACCTCGTTCAACTCACCAGCTACTCTGAGTTGTTACGCACTCGGTGCTCCATTCCCAGCTGTCACCTGGTGGAAAGAGAACGAATTAATACCACTGAAAAACCGAGAATTTGAGGTTACCAAGGATTATTCCTTGATAATTCATTCTGTACAGTTATCTAACTTGGGAGTTTATACATGTCAAGCTTATAACGGTTGGGGCAAGGCTGCGAGTTGGTCGGTGACTGTCAGAGCTAATGGACCATATCAGTCGAATAATCCAAAAGATATTAAGTATCTACAATATGTAGTAAACCCCGAACAGATGGTTCACACTACTGAAGCACAGCCAAGATATTCTAGTCCTGTATATAGACCAACAGCTCGACCTTATGTTCCTCCTGTGTATAGTACTGAGCCTGAGGTTGATCCTAACGATATTATTGCTGGTGTACCGGAGGCTGGTGAGGTACCACCGCCTGATTCTGTCTATATTGGTAACGTATACTGTTTGATGTTTATTTATTTCTTTTTTTTAGTGTTTGGTACTAACAGTGTAGTGTCGGGTGTTAGGATATTGGTAGTGAATATTGTCTGTTTAGCGAAATATTACTTTTATTCTGTCATTTTACTTCAGAAGTTTTCGTATTCTTCGGATGCACAAAAGAAGTTTTGTACAAAAGTAATGCTGTACAAAAGCAATTTTGTGCAAAAGAAAATTTGTGCAAAATAATTTTGTGCAGGAGAAATTTTGGACAGGGTGTCCCACTAAGAATATAGCTCTCGGCTATATCTCGGCAAGTATTAGCCGTAGGGCCTGCGGAAAAAAAAATATTCATAACTAAAGAGGTCATGAGAAATTGCTGGAAATTATTTTCAAGTTTGTAGAATGGCCGCTAGAGGGCGCAACTGATATAAAAATATAAGAGAATGGAGTTTTTACACAATTTCGCCTAGATAATGGGTACTATAAATAATAGCTTCATAATCTTCAGTAAATTGTAAATATTTTTTATTAGAACTATTTTTCCCTATCTGCCAAAAAAAAGTGGTGGGGGAAGGTTAGATCTGTTTTTATTTAAATATTAATAACTCCGGACTGGATGGACGGGATTTAACAAACGGGGGCTCGTTTAAAAGAGCGTTTATTACTCTATATTACACCATATAAATAATAATAATAAGCTTTTGAACGTAGACGCAAGGGGGAGCTGTAATGTAATTTTAGCTGATAGTAAGTGTGATGGAAAAAAGTTGCTTTTAAACGGATAGTTTAAACATCAAAATATTATTATATCAACATTTTGATAGTTTCAGCGTTTTTTTATCTTTTGATTGCTTTTCTAGCAATGCCTTTCTTCAAAAGAAAAAAAAACGCTACTAAGTGTAAATACTAAATGTTGATCTAATAACAATTTGACGTTTATACTATTACGACAAAAGCAACTTTTTTACAACTGATACCGTGTTATAAAAATATGTTAATTAAGGGGTTATATTTTTCTATTTAATGTAATTTTGCTAATATCTTCGGTTTGAAAGCAGATATCAAGATGCGGTTTTCACTGGCTTTTTAAGCTTTCATTACACTTTACTATCAGCTAAAATTATATATACAATCGCATTTATTTTTTTTGAAAAAACGCACACTGCTTGTTAAATTGTAAGACAGTGCCTCCTATCGTCTACGTTCAAAAGCTTATTATTATTATTTTTATGGTATAATATAGAGTAAGGAACGCTCTTTTAAGCGTCTTGCTGGAAAAATATGTTTTCTAGTTCCATTAAGGGCATATTAATATTTAAATAAAAACAGATCTAACCTTCCCCCACCACTTTATTTTGGCAGATAGGGGAAATGACTTTAACAAAAAATATTCAAAATTAACTGAAGATTATGAAGCTGTTATTTATAGTACCCGTTATCTAGGCAAAATTGTGTAAAAACTTTTTTTCTTTTATTTTATAGCAGTTGCGCCCTCTAGCGGCCGTTCTACAAACTTGAAAATAATTCACAGCAGTTTCTCACACCCTCTGTGCTCTGTCAAAATCTTATATTCTCTCAAAATTGAGATAGCTTTAACGACAATAGGTCTCATTAGAGGATTTAAATAAAAAAGTATAAAGAAATCATTAGATATATGTATTTTTTTTAATATTGAGTTTTTCATATAAAGATATTTGGTTCGGCGCTTAACTACAAAATTGTATGATTAAAATATTATCAACTTTAAAAAAATTATCTGTTATAAGAAGATGCGAACTTGAAAAGATTTATACAAAAACAAGATTTTTTTCATTTATTTATTTACACTCTGTATATTACTCGGCATTTTTAAATAAAATAGATATTTTTTAAAGTGCACGTATAAATCCTAGACTTTTATTTCTTATGTAAAACTTTCTATACTTAAATAATTTTTGAAAAATACATTTCCAATTTTCAGTCAAAAATGATACTTTATAATGAATTTTCCTAAAATTCCTCCTAAAATATAACTATAATTTTTTATTTTATTTTATAAGGTGAATTTTTTGGAGTTATTCCTAACTTATTTTTAATTTTATTTACTGATACCGTAAAAAATACAAATTCTCATTAACTAAATTTTTTGAATATACAGGGTGTTTCAAAACAAATGCGAAAAACTTCAGGGGGTGATTCCTTGTTCAAAATAAAGGGTAGTTTGCTTCATAAACGTTGGGTCAAAAGTCAACCATTAGGAAGATATTGCGGTACAAAGATGGCGGAAAAATAATGTTTTTATTTTTTATCTTGAAAACGAAAATAGATAGATTAATAAAATTTTATGGAAGCATTACTGTTATGAAAACACACTTTCTGGTAATCTTTTCACTTTTTTAAAATGAGTGGAAGGGGTTGAAATAAACTACCCCTATCATTCTTGTTAACGAAATTTAAAGAAAAATCTTATCAAACACATGCAAAAAAATTAATTTGGATAGTTTAGTTTGTTTAGAAACTTTTTTATCTCTTGTATTTTTTTGATAAAACTCACCGATTTGAAATTAAAAAATAAAATGTAAAGCATTACATGTCAGAACAAAAAACATTTTCTAATAAAGAATCTAGTGGGCTGCTGTAATTTTTAGGAAAAAATCTAGTCGGCCGCTGTTACTTTTAGGATGTTCCTAATATTATTTTATTTGACATTACTCTACTGCAATACGTTATTATCTAAGATGATTGATTATAGTTATTATCACTAGATTCTTAATCTAAAAATGTTTTTGTCCTGACATGTAATGCTTTACATTTTATTTTTTTAATTTCCAATCGGTGAGTTTTATCAAAAAAACACAAGAGGTAAAAAGTTTCTAAACAAACTAAACTATCCAAATTAAAGCATTTGCATGTGTTTGATAAGATTTTCTTTAAATTTCGTTAACAAGAATGATAGGGGTAGTTTATTTCAACCCCTTCCACTCATTTTAAAAAAGCAAAAATTACCTGAAAGTGTGTTTTCATAACAGTAATGCTTCCATAAAATTTCATTAGTCTATCTCTTTTCGTTTTCAAGATAAAAAATAAAAACATTATTTTTCCGCCATCTTTGTACCGCGATATCTCCCTAATGGTTGACTTTTGACCCAACGTTTATAAAGTAAACTACCCTTTATTTTAAACAAGGAATCACCCCCTAAAGTTTTTCGCATTTGTTTTGAAACACCCTGTATAATAATATAAAACGTGTACCGAAAAAATATAACACGCACCTTAGAATATTTCATTATGCTAAAGTTCAGTATTTTCAAGCCACCCTGTATATATTTTTGATGATAAATATCACAAAAGACATTTAAAGATATATTTTGATAAATTCTAGTACCAGTGCGTGCCAACATCACGACCAATGAGCGCAGGTATCCCACCGGAAGTACCCTGGAAATCAACTGTGACGTATACGGATACCCCCCACCACAAGTCCAATGGTACAAAGATGGCGTCCCTGTACGAACCAACGAAAGAATATCTGAATCAAGTTAGTAAATCATTATCAATTTTACTAAAAAAAAATCTTTTAATTTTCTTTTAATACCCTTGAATTTTGGTGTTTTTTTTTAAATAACTATATATAATTTGTTTTTTTACAGGTACCCATACTTTGACTATTAATTCAGCTGCCAAAGGCGATTCAGGAAGATATCAATGTGAAGCTACCAATAACTATTCAAGAGCTACGAGTACAATCGATATTTCCATTGAAGGTATCAATTTTTGAAATAAATATTCTATAGAAAAAGAAGAAATAATTATACAGGATAGAGCACCTCATTCGCCTCGGTTGATTATACAAAAACGGAAATATGTAGAAACAAAATATTTTATGGGCATATGTGGGAAGACAATGTGCATAATTTAAAATTATTTTCAAATGTACAGGGTGTGCCAGAACTAAGATCTATACCAAAGTTATACTTTTTATTATGTAACACCCTGTATTTTATTTTATTTTTGGATTCTTGGGCATAAAATAAGGCATTTATTATTAAGGTTTAATATGTTTAAAACCTTTGGTTTTTGAGATATTTAAAGATGTTTAATTAGGCATGCTATAATAAAAAAGTTTGTCAACACCCTGTACATTACTTTGCAGAATTAATTCTTGTGCTGACTTTGAAGCCAAAGAAATAAACTTTACTAAAATATTTTATTGCTTCCTTAAATGTATACAGGGGTATCAAAAATTGTTGGTCTATTTTAGATATTTATTTTACATAAAAACTTCGTTATTTCCAATACAACACTATGTATTTTTTAAAATAAGTCGAAGCAGATTTAAACGCTCTTTGAAACTATATTAGGGTTTCCTATACCTACCTGGCTCAGGTTTTGAATAAAAAGCGATTTTTCAATAAAATGGCAATTAAGATGGCTGCTGTCGCCATGGCAATTTGCTAGTGACAGTTAGTAGCTATTTTCAAAATCGACATTAGTTTATTCGACATACTTTTATTTAATTTACCTACCATAGTTTAATAAGTAAGTATTTATTATTTTATCAAGAAAAATGAAGAAGTCGTTCTTTGATTTATATTACAATGACATACTGGATTTTCTATAAATGAACCAATTAAGGCAAATTCGTTTTCTTGATTTCCATCGACAGGTTTCTGCCTATAGGTTTTTCATATACCACACTATCAGCTCTGCGAAATAGGAAAAGTAGTTTTCAAAGGAACGCTTGTCTAGAAAATTCCTATTTGGATATCTTTGAGCATAAACCCTTCAGGACAACAAGCAATTGTCCTCACAAAATGAAATCTCGAGTAACATATCCATTCCCTCCGCCAGCAGATTCTGCTTCATTTTTCTTGATAAAATAATAAATACTTATTAACCTTATTGTAGGTAAATTAAATAAAAATATAACTTTGGTATGGATCTTATATTTGACACACCCTGTATATTTCCAAATAATTTTAAAATGTGCCCATTACCTCCCCACATATACTCATAAAATATTTTGTTTCTACATCCTTCCGTTTTCGTATAATCAACCGAGGTGAATGAGGTGCGCCACCCTGTATAAGTAAAAATAAAAATACAAATAAAACTGACAAAAGTGCTGGGAAAATGTACAAAAATAATAAGAGGAAATGAATCCTTCCTTTGTCTTCATTTAACGTGTTCAAATGATTTTAATGTAAAGTAAATAATTATTTTTTGTTGTTTTAGGAATCTATATCCACCCAAGTTGCACTGACAACCAGTTCTTCGCCAACTGCAAGCTGATCGTGCAAGCTCGGTATTGCAACCACAAATACTACGCCAAATTCTGCTGTAGATCTTGCACAGAAGACGGACAGTTACCAATCAGAGACGACCAATTCTCCAACAGTAAACAAGAAGCTTTAGAAAACAATACAGTTTAAACAAACTTGCGAGATTTAAAGGATTCTGTCTTGGCTTAAACAAAAAGCGATTTAGGAAAAAAATCAGACTCTCCAACAAAATCTTTTAATTTTTTAGTCTTGTTAATAAAAATTAGCCAAGGTAGATTTACTAGTCTTCAAAATACTTAAAATGGGCCATTATTACTATTGCTTTAATGTAAAAGTGAAAAATTCAATGAAGGGTTAAATAGTATATTTTTTTAATACGTTCACATTTAATATGGTGCACCTAGAGTTTAAAAAAAAACGGGAATATTATACTTTATAATATATTTATATGTGTTATAATATGTAAGAGTGCCATACAACTGAGTCTAGAGTTTAAATAACTTTTTATTTAAGATTTGTTTGCAAAGAAGAAATAATTAAAAATAAAATAATAGTAAATTTTCTTTTACCAATATGAAAAATAGTTTGGTAAAAAAAACACAATAATGTTTAATTAAAATATAATAATGTTTTATACAGGGTATCTTTTAAATTAGTACAAAAAAGTATTTTAAGTAGGTAGTATATTTATTTACACTCCAGAAATTACGTCTATGAGGATTTTTACAGTTATTGAAAATTTTACATTTTTTCCGGGACATTATAAAACATTTTTATAAATTTTATTTTTTTCAAAAATGGTAAATAGAAAAAAAAAGTTCTTTTTTACTACCTTTTAAAATACTTGTACATGTTTATGAAACACCCTGTATAATTGTCATATTAGGGTCATTTAGATTAGCAGCTACAGATTCAATATGATTAAACTTATGTAGAATTATTATAACACACTTCAATCTATAATTTTAACCCTTCTCTGTGAATATACAGGGTGGTCTGAACTGTATTCCGGAAACTTCGGCATCATATACTGCAGATAATAATAAGTAAAAAAGTTCGTACAAATGTATGTCCTAAAAGTTGCTTAGTTTCGGAGATACAGGGTGTTGAAGTTTTATTTTTATTTCGATTTTTTCCAAATAATTTGTGAAGTAACGTTAATATTTGGATGAAAATTGGTGTTTTGGGAGTTTTATTTTATGTCAATATGACTCCTAATTGTAGAGGGCGCCACCTACATATTTTTTAACTGGTTTGAAAAGTAATAACTTTTCGTCTGTACCTGTATACATTTGTACCGGATATTGAAAACAACTGAGTAAAAAAATATACATTTACGACGTTTTTTACCTAAAAAAATCACAGAAATGTATATTTTTTCACTCAGTAGTTTTATACAGGTTCGGACGAAAAGTTATTACACTTCACAACAGTTAAAACACATGTAGGTGGCGTCCCCTACAAATAGGAGTCATATTGACTCCCAGACATCAATATTCATCCAAATATTGACGTTACTTCAGAAATTATTTGGAAACAATCGAAATAAAAATGAAACTTTGACACCCTGTATCTCCGAAACGAAGCATTTAAAAACATGAACTTTTTTACTTAATTTTATCTGCGGAATATGCTGCCGAAGTTTCGGGAATACAGTTCGGGTCGCCCTGTATATCAAAAAAGCATCACAAATTTAAATAGAATAAGTTTTAAGATACATTTTCGATCCACCATGTGGAAGTTAGGTTATGTTTTAATCCTCACAATTGTAGATAATTTTATTTTCGAAAACGACCATTAAACTTAAAAAGAAAACGAAAAAACCTGGTGCAATTTTCCCCCTGTACATATAATTTTAATGTTAATAATTTATGAATGTAATGTAAAAATGTGTTCACTGTAAAATGCTAAGGAAATATTTTTATTTATATGCTAAGTATACTCTGTTTTTTATTTTTCCTTTTCCCCTTTTATTTTTTCCTAACTTAGGTAACACCCTGTATATGTTACAGGCAATGCTATATACAGGGCATTTATGAAAATGATCATGAACTAAAGGCAATGCTGAAAATGTTACTCTTTTATTGGTTCTTGTTCTACGATATCAGCAATAACTACAATATAACTGCTAACATTTCAACAATGTAATGTGTTCATTTCAAAGCCCTTTCCACTGAACAAAAAAAAACTGTTTAAAATCAAAACATCCAAGCAATAAGTTCATTAATATCAAAAATTCTTGACTAAATGGTGAATGCAACTGCTTACTCCTGGTATCTAAAAATACCTCCTCGCTCTTATATGCTCCTGGTACAAATTTAAGAGAATTCTAATCTCTAAATGGCATTTAAAATTCTTGACTAAATGGTAAATGCGACTGCCTTACTCCTGGTATCGAAAAATACCTCCTCGCTCTTATATGCTCCTGGTACAAATTTAAGAGAATTCTATTCGATATGACATTTAAATTTCTTGACAAAATGGTGAATGCAACCTTACTCCTGGTATTGAAAAATATCTCCTGGCACTCATATGCTCCCGATCGAAAATCCAAGCGTCAGTTTTTAACAAAAGGTAGTCAAAATAAATTCGGCATGGCAAAAATCAGAGGACTTGACCAACGAGTTCGATCGAGTTAGATTTTTTCGAAAAACGGCCATAACTTCTAAACTATAAGAGATATCGAGGAACGGAAGCCGGCATTCGATTCGCCTTTCAACCCTCTATAAGGGTGCAAAATAAGGGCGCGATCGGAGACAAAAAAAATTTTTGGTGAAAAATGAAGGAAGGTTAACCCCTTACCTCATTTTTCGCCAAAAATTTTTTTGGTCTCCGATCGCGCCCTTGTTTTGCGCCCTTATAGAGGGTTGAAATGCCTATCGAATGCCGTGTTCCGTTCCTCTCTAGCCCTTATAGTTTCCGAGATATTAAGGGTTGAATTTTGGAAACGAGGTCCAAGTGCTAGAGATAGCAAAAATACCGTTATTTAATGATATGTTTACATACGGTACTAAATTTGCTATTTACCTCTTCGCTTTTATGTGTTCCTGATAGAAATCGGCGATTTTTGACTGGGTTTAAAATTTTTCGTGCGGTCTTTGACAAAAATTTAATTTTCTCGGATATGTATCAGGAGTACATAAGAGCGAAGAGGTAAATATTGGTACACAATTTAATCCTTACCTCTTCACACTTATGGGCTCCTGATAGAAATCGGTGATTTTGGGCAAGCATTAAAAATTTTCGTTCAATTTTTGTTAAAAGCTGAATTATCTTTGATTTGTATCAGGGGTACAAAAGGGCGAGGAGGTAAATTATGGAGGTATTATTTTTATATAAAAATACTGTCTATTCCAGAACAACTTGTTAAGTTGTTTAATATTAGGATATGTTATTTTGTAAATTTTAAATGGCTTTCTTTTTGTTCAGGATTAGACAGTAGTTTTAACTTTGGTTCAATAAAACTCATTTATTATTAATTATTATTTATTTACATATTATATTTTATTAACAAAGAGTAACAAATAAAAGTATATTAAAATCTAAGGAGCCGATGTCATGCTGATGTCTATGTTGATGTCTATGTTGAGGTAAAGAAATTTTCTGACTACCCTTCTGGAAAGTCTTGGTTCTGTAAGAAAAATATAAAGAAATAATTAATTATTTGTTACCTAACAAGCTTGATTAAAAACTATTACCGTATGAAATGAAGGAATATAGGAATCTTCGTAACATAGAAAACTTTTTTAATAGTAATACAAGGAAAAAATATGGTTAAGTTAACTGTATTTGTAATTTGTAATGCTAAAATTTGTAAAATTATTTGTAATAATTTGTAGAAATATTTTAATTATACTAATTAAAAAAGTAAAACCAAACTAAATGAGAAAATTCTCACTTTTTATATAGGCAACTAAATATACACGTTAATGTATTTATAATTGCCTATACATAGGTAATTTGTGGCGCCAAAGTGTTTTATTTGAAATTAGCAATTTATATCTACATTTACAAAATACAATAACATTAGGTATTTATTAAACACTAGTTGAAGCCTGGCGCATCCGCCACGACATCAAGAAAAAAAAATACTTTTTATTTTTTTTAATTAAATGAAAAACATAAAATCCGGCGACGACAGTTTTTAGAACAGCCAATTAGCTATCTTTTAGTAAAAAAGGCAACTTTCTAGAGCAAGTCGTTACTTCGGTAGAAACGACACAGATAAACATTAGCATTTTATATATGTAGATATCGATTGAAAAAAAACACCTTTTAGTATAATTTACCTAAAACTATTTAGCTGTCTCTTCAATGTTGAATTTAATCAACCAAATGGCATCTTGAAGAGGGTGGTTGAATTGAAGTGTGGCTGTCCTTGCCCAAAAATCCTTGTTCCAAAGCAGTACAATATCCCATTCGAAAATTAAAGAACTAACCTAGAAACAGAATAAAAAAAATCAATTGGAAAATAAACAAAATTTATATAAAACTATACAATTATTATATGTAGGCATCAATAGAAATAAATGAAAGACTTGGAAGTCTTATGAGAATAGCAATAATATAAACAATAACATAAATAAAAACAGTAAAGTTCGACATATGATGTGTCATTCTATTCAGAGTGTCATTTTCTATCGAATGAAGTAAAAATATACCGAGGGTGCTAGTTAAAAATCAAAAGTTGTTGTCATTTCTGCTGAAACAGGAAGTAACCAAAACAATTGAATACGTCAATCAATCCTAATTTATGTCATATAGTTACATACCAAATCTCATTTTTTTATCAAAAAAAGAAATAAAAAAGTTATAGGGGTGAGCCACTTTTGAGACGTACCCGGTATGTTATACTAATTTTTTTTTTGTCCTAGGCTTCTTAGTTTCTGAAGTACAGGGCTAATTTTAAAACATTTTTAAAATGCTGCAAAAGGCGAAATGATTTTCCCGTGATTTTTTCACGTGGAACCCACTGGCGTAACTTGTTTTTCTCTTGGAGCTGTCATTTTAGAAATACGACACAATCTTATTGTTTTTTAAATAAGACCCCCGGTATGTGTATACAGGGTAGTCCAAACTGTATTCCGTAAACTTCGGTAGCATATTCTACAGATCAAAATAGGTAAAAAAGTTCGTATAAATGTATGTCCTAAAATGCTTAGTTTCGGAGATACAGGGTGTAGAATTTTCATTTTTATTTCGATTCTTTCCAAATAATTTCTGAAGTAACGTCAATATTTGGATGAAAATTGGTATCTGGGAGTTTTGTAACACGAGAAATTTGATTTTGATGTCAAAATTACTCCTACTTCTAGGGGGCGCCACCTACATGTGTTTTAACTGTTTTGAAGAGTAATAACTTTTCGTCCGAACCGGTATAAAACTACTGACTGAAAAAATATACATTTCCATGAATTTTTACGTAAAAAATGTCTCTTGGTAAAAATCGCTATGAGTAACCGTTCTCAAGATATTTAGAATGGAAATAGTCAGTACATGTCATTATTGACAAAAAATAAGCACACGATGAGTATAGCTATTTAATTGAAATAATAAATTTTATTTTTTTTAAATTAATCATAATTTCTTCTGCGAAAAAATGATGATTAAACAATTTCTGTTGAACTTTTAGCACAACAAGATTTCAAATTTATGATTTCAGTTTAATAACTATTTAGTCAACATGTTTAATTATGTCAGTGATGACAGGTATTGATTTTGGTTTCCAAATATCTCGAGAACCATTACTCTTAGCGATTTATACCAAGAGACCTTTTTTATGTAAAAAAAGTCGTAAATGTATATTTTTTTACTCAGTAGTTTTATACACGTATGGACGAAAAGTTATTATTAGTTACTTCAAACTAGTTAAAAATATGTAGGTGGTGCCTTCTACAAGTAGGAGTCATATTGACATGAAAATCGAATTCCTCATGTCAGAAAACTTCCATCGACCAATTTTCATCCAAATATTGACGTTACTTCATAAATTATTTGGCAAAAATCGAAATAAAAAAATTAAACTTCTACACCTTGTATCTCCGAAACTAAGCATTTTAATACATACATTTTTACGAACTTTTTTACTTATTTTTATCTGCAGAATATGCTGCCAAAGTTTCCGGAATACAGTTCGGACCACCCTGTATATATGTATATTTTATTTTATTTGCTTTCTTATGAGCTTTCTAAAAATATAATATCATTGGCGTACAGGGGAGCCCGGGGGTGCCCCCCAGGTACTGCTGTGCACCCCCCATATAAATCCTGAATTATGACTCTTGGCTACGTATTAATTTTTATTTGCTTGAGATGTAGTAAAAATTACATTTTCTAGTTTTGTTTAGTTACTATTATTTTGTTGTATTCAAAAAATGTGTTAAATTTATTTTTTTTAGAAAATTTATAGGTATTTAAGTAATCTACGGGAACACGGTTTGATAACCAAGTCTCTGAAATGTATTGACAGAGAAATTCATATAAACGTTTTATTCAAAAAATGTGTTTTTTAAAATTATTTTTCATTTAAAAAAAAATAAAAGCCGTAGGCCCCCCGGCCCACCCCAGGGTAAATTGCTAGTTACGCTAATGTATAATACACCCTATAAATATTTTCATAAATCCATTACATATTTAACTTTTCAACATAAATCAACCAAGTTTAAAAAGTATTATTTAAATTGATTTAACCTGGACAGCTATTAGATAACCAAAATTTAGCCAATAACCAAAATTTGACGAATAAATTATTCGATTCCTTTGATATCCTAATTTAAACCTTCCGCCTATATTCAAACATCCAAAAATTGGACACTCTGTACAATTAGACAGGCATTCTCAGGATTTCCGCGTTTCAACACACCTGGAACATAGCGATAATAGCCTTTCCATATATTCCTAAACGCGTGTAAATAGTTGTGTAAAAAAAACGGCGCAAATCAAAACACGCGCACGCGTTTTGGGAAACCTCTCTGGTGAAAAACTTTTTGAAATCCATTGGCGCTAGTTTCAGAGCCGCGATTACCGCTGTTACAGCAGCGTAGAAAGCGCGAAATTTTGTCTAAATAGTCGTCAAAGCTTTGCGCGTTTGTCGGTAAAATAAACTCGGTAAAAGGAACGTTCCTATTTTGAAAGAAATAAACAATAATCTACAGAGTTTTAGACTTGTAACTGGTAAGTGAGAAAAAAAAAACAATTTAAATTAAATAAACATCAAATTATTAATATTTACAGATGTAAAGAAGTAATTCTTTCATATTCATACACCAAAAAATAAACAGTCAATAAATACAATACAGAGTGAGACTTAGATAAGTGCAAATATTTTCAGGACTGGTAGATATCAATAAGAGAAACATATTTCTTCTTTACCATTTTTCAAATAAGTCCAAAATAACCGAAATATTTAACTTTAAAAATTTCCCAAAAAAAATTTTTCGCTTAAATTTTGAGAACCACTGGATCTTTTCTGGGTGTTCCTTCTTGTAAATTTATTCTACTGTCTATAAAGGTTGCCATATTATTATGAAGATATTGTTTTTTAACTAAAAATTTAATGAAGATATGAAAACAAATGAAGATATTGTTTTTTTTAACTAAAAATTTAAAAAATTTAAAAATTCCAAATTTTCAATTTTTTTTGCAAAAACTTCTTAAACGTGTTTTTGGGGTCGAAATATACTACCCCTAAAATATTTGCACTTATTTGACACTCATCCTGTATAAACAATATCTACCGGGTGAGTCTCAAAAGTGGCTCATCCCCCAATAACTTTTATATTTTTCAGATAAAAAACGAGATTTGGTATGTTAGTATATGACATAAATTAGGATTGACTGACGTATTCAATTGTTTTTGGTCACTTCCTGTTTCACCGGAAATGACTATAACTTTTGATTTTTAAATGACACCCACTGTATTTTTTTACTTTATTTGATAGAAAATGACATTCTGGATAGAATGACATATCATATGTTAACTTTTGATATTCTCGCTTAATAAAAAATCGTATTTTAAAATTCAATCTAGAGTGCCATGGCTATGTTAAAAACACTAATACTTAATTAAAGAGCCTTGGAAAAATAGATTTGATCGTCTAATGTTTTTAGTGTCTTGTCCTGGTCAGTTAGAAAATGCCCATATCGTATTTTTAATCATATTACATCAATTTTTTTCAATTGAAACAAGGGTGGAAATAGCATATTTGGAAAACATATTTTTTTACGAATAATTTGGTACCACACACTTGGTATTTCGAGTCAAATTTTCGTTACGAACTGCAAGTTATAATTTGAAATAAACCACTTTTGAAAAATGTCAAAAGTTGACATATGATATGTCATTCTATTCAGAGTGTTATTTTCTATCGAATAAAGAAAAAAAATACCGAGGGTGCCATTTAAAAATGAAAAGCTGTAGTCATTTCCGGTGAAACAGGAAGTGACCGAAAACAATTGAATACGTCAATCAATCCTAATTTATGCCATATACAAACATACCAAATCTTGGGTTTTTAACTGAAAACATAAAAAAATATAGGGGTGAGCCATTTTTGTGACGCACCCGGTATACCTTGGCAGGTTCGTTTCTTTAAAATTCAGTAGAAGAGTTCTAAGCTTTTCTTGTATGGTTGTTTGATGTTAAATAGTTTTTCCTTTGTGTATTTTTTTTGCATATAACGACGCGACAGGAGGAAATACAGCTTTGTCGATTTTTCTTGTAGCAAAACATCTAAAATTCTTTTCAAGAAATGAATCCGCCGCGAAGGGCAACTTAATGGCCTGTAAAAAAACGATTGCCGACTTTTACCGACTGCACTACTGACTACTGTATTGAGACTGTCGCAGAACCATGTGTACTCTAGCTCCAACTATTTGTTTATAATTATAAAAAGTGAAACTAACCAAACGTAATAAATTTCCAAACTTCGCGTTCTTTTTATTAAGATTAACAGCCTCTCATAAAAAATCTCAGACTTAACAACTAACTACCTACTGTTGTTTAATGTTTGTAAATAATAAATATCAGCATTAGAAAAAATAACTGTCTTTTATTTATTATTAACAAATAAAAGGAGCATAGCTTTTATAATAGATGATATTAGGGACAGAGTATGTTTTGAATTGTTCAATTTATAAAAAGTCTAAATGGACAAATTTGTCTGGACAGATTTGCGAAATCATGTATTGACAAATAAAATTTACTTTTAGGTATTATAGAAAAATACTAGACAATATTTTTAATGTTAAAATTTTGTGTTAATAGAATATTATTAGGTACTCTATGAATAGTGTATGTATTCTTTTACTGTCAGAAAACATTTGAGTTCAGTGTTACATTTAACAGTAAACTGTCATTTGTACCATACATATCTGAACTTGTTCAGGATCTGACTGTCCCTAAAATAAAGTCTCTAAAGGAGAATTACAAATATATTATAAAACCTTTGTAATCTTATACGTATTGGCCAGAATAGGAAAGCTAATAAAACTAGGAAAAATAATTAGTCTGTTAAAATTTCTTAGTCTGCTAAGCTTATGTTTTTATAATATCTTTATAAATTATAGCGTGTATGTTATTCCGATGTATAAGCTAAATTATTGAAGAGTTTCATTAAAATCTATTTAGTAGTTTTTGCATGAAAGAGTAACAAAAAATGTGTACGTCCATCCATACCTTCATACACCAAAAAAAATTAACATTTTCGTGATTTTTCACGTAAAAAATATCTCTTGGTAAAAATCCCTACGAGCAACCGTTCTCTAGATATTCAGAATGGAAATAGTCAATACATGTAATTATTGAAAGAAAAACATGTTGAGTAGAACATGTTTAATTTATGTCAATGATGACAGGTATTGATAATTTAGATCCCAAATATCTCGAGAACCGTTACTTGTAGGGATCTTTAGCAACATACCTTTTTTAATTTTTTTTACTCAATATAGTTTTATATAGGTACGGACGAAAAGTTATTTCCAAATCAAACCAGTTAAAAGATATGTAGGTGGCGCCCTCTACAAGTAGCAGTCATATTTATATCAAAAACAAATTGCTCATATCAAAAAACTCCCAGACACAAATTTTCGTCCAAATATTGACGTTACTTCAGAAATTAGTTGGAAAAAATCGAAATAAAAATGAAACTTCTACACCCTGTATCTCCGAAACTAAGCCCCCCCATTTTAAGACATACATTTATACAAACTTTCTTACTTATTTTTATCTGCGGAATATGCTGCCGAAGTTTCCGGAATACAGTTCGGACCACCCTGTATTTTATACGACCCTTCTGTCCGACATCGTCGAGTTTTATGTTCAGTAAAAGACTATCATTAGACGCATCTTTTATAAGACCCTGTATATTAAACTGCTGACCTGAAAATTTAACAAAAATATTATTTTGCTTTATTAAAAGTCGGATATTTTCGATATTGGCACGCATTCGTATTATTTACCACCTGGAAAATGACAAGCTTCAACAGTTTTAAAATAAAATGCGGAAATTATGACTCAATAATGAGATTTTCACAGCAAAATTGTTATGAATGAGTTTAATTTAAGTGAATTATAAAGTAGGTACAATTTATTTATGTGGATTTGGTGCAAATATTGCTGAATACATTTTCGGTTAGTTTTAAGAAATTTGGTATTTTAATATTGTTTACAGACTTTCCCAACCTAAATTATGGTCTAAAGAGTTGAATCAATTTTTAAATATATTATACAATGTATTATACAGGGTGGGCCATTTTTTAGAAGTAGAACTTTAACAGTAGATAAGAAAATTTGATTTAAAACTATTCTTTTTTATTAATAAATACTGTATAAGATTTGCCCAACGAGTATGTGTGTACCGAGACTAAGAAATACATGAATACCCATTAATTTGCATCACCAGTAATAATTTTATTAGACAACCATGCTTAGAGTTATAATAATTAATTATCAAAGTGCCGATATAAACACTGGACGAATAATATAATAAATCGAAATAGACTTTTATTAGTTCAAAATACAAATATGGTCTCAACCACAAGTATTATTATTAAGAAATCATCAGGGAAAACTACTAAACTACAGATAAAGACCGAATCATATTATAGAACTTTTTTTATTTATTTTTTATTTCTACTTTTATTTTTTTTATTTTCTTTTTCTTTATTTTTCTTTTCTTTTTTATTTCCTTTTTTATTTCTTTTTTATAATTTTTGCTTTGAATTATAAATGACATAAGAAACTATGATCTGTCGCTCTTGGGTATCTGTCAAATCTGACGTAAATATGTATTTAAAGTGGATTTATTGGCTGAATTTTAAAACACCTTACTTGGAAAAGTTGTTTATTTTTTAAGTTTACATAAGCTATACCGGGTGTTTCTCAAAGTAGCTCATCCTTATATCTTTTTTATTTATTTCAGATAAAAAACAAATTTGGTATGACAAACCTCGAGATTCTTGATCCTATAGCCACCTTATATGCATCTCTGTTCAATACTGTTTAGTGGGCAGCATCGAAATGATTGTACAAAGCTCTTAAATTAATATTAAATAATTTAACAAACACTTAATTAAAAAATCTATTATTATCTAGCTGCAACATAATTAAATATAAAAATCATAAAAGTATTTACAGCTCTTCTTTACAGGTTGTAACATCTTATAAACGCTGCGAAGTTCAGATAATAAATCAGAATTACGTCCATGCTTGTTCATAAAGGCGCAGCATTTCACTAATGTAAAACAACAATACGTAACTCGAGAACCATTACTCTTAGCGATTTCTACCAAGAGACCTTTTTTATGTAAAAAAAGTCGTAAATGTATATTTTTTTACTCAGTAGTTTTATACACGTATGGACGAAAAGTTATTAATCTTCACACTAGTTAAAAATATGTAGGTGGTGCCCTCTACAAGTAGGAGTCATATTAACATGAAAATCGAATTTCTCATATCAAAAAACTTCCATCGACCAATTTTCATCCAAATATTGACGTTACTTCATAAATTATTTGGAAAAAATCGAAATAAGAAAATGAAACTTCTACACCCTGTATCTCCGAAGCTAAGCATTTTAGAACATACATTTATACGAACTTTTTTACTTATTTTTATCTGCAGAATATGCTGCCAAAGTTTCCGGAATACAGTTCGGACCACCCTGTATATATGT